GAGGTGGGAGGGGAGAAGAGAGAAGAGATTAGAGTGTCAGAACACTTTGCTGTCCTTAAGACTGGAAACCTCTGCACTACCCTATACATCCAAGTCAGCAGCACAGCATTCCCAAGGGCAGATCCCATTGCAAGTGTTTGAGATTAAGAAAGCCAAGTAAAGAAATTGTGCTTGCTGTACACATGGTCAGCTTCTGGGTCTGGCTCCTCTTGGAAGCCCAGCCACCAATATTACACCAATGTTTGAGTTTGTTTTCTGTAACTTAAAAGCTGAGTATTTCAGGTTTATGCAGTGCGTGTGTGTTCGTTTTAATATCCTATGCCCTCTAAAGGTTAGGGGAGAGCAAGAGGCCAAGTTGTTACTGTGCATCCTGTAGACACTACAGACCCTGACATTTTGAAAGCTAAAGGACACTGTCAACATGGAGACCCTGGACAGCATTACAGGGAAGCCATATTTGGGAATGGGATCAATTCCACCTCCCAGGTCACAATGAGGAGTCTATTTATATAGACTGAGGGGGCTTGCATGCCACAACAAATGGCTTGCATGTCTTATGACCTTCTTCCTTGCACAAGTTTAACAGGGCTCATATGCCAGAACACTAGCTCCATAACAGTCAGGGAACACAACGCTGCAAATCAGTGAGACAAGCAAAGGAGACTCGGGACTTTGGAAGTAGCTAAGAATTTGCTTCTGAGGAGGGGAACTGCATTAATCAGCTACTTGCACAGCCGAAGACAGGACAAACCACCTGAACATCACGCTGCTCATTTTAGTAGTCAGGGTTTACTGACTACAATTCATGTTAACAGAAAGCCAGTGGCTGAGGCAGAAATGGAACTTAAGTCCATTCCAGCAGACTCTTACGCTGACTCAGAAGTAGTGACGTTATGAGAACTCAAAGCCAGGGAATTTGAAGAACCATTAAGACAGAAAGTATGATAATGCCACTAATACAAGTACATGGGAAATCTACACCTTGAATACTGCATGCAGTTTTGGTCACCCCATCTCATTAAAAGGAGAAGAGATACAGAGAAGGGCAACAGAAATTAGGGGTATGGAACAACTTGCATGAGGAGAGAGCTGAAAAGCTCCCGTCTTTTTTTATTGAAAAGACAAGGGGAATTAAAGTCACAAGAACCAGGGGTCACTTAATGACATTAATAGGAAGCAGGTTTAACAAGAAGAAATACTTCCTCACATACCACTGTTCACTCTGTGTCAGGGAATGTTGAAGGCCCAAAGCTAACTGGGGTTAAAAAAAAAGAACTGGATCAATCATAGAAGATTGTCCATCCTGGCTAATAACCATTGATTGACTGAAATGCAGCCCCATGCAACAAGTGCCCCTTACACTTACGACTACCAGAAGTGGGGAGTGAACATAAGGGGATGATCACTCAATGACTGCTTGCTCAGTTCATTCACTCTGAATCAACTGGCTTGGTTGGAAGACAAGATAGTGGGCCAGACTGACCCATGGTTCAACCCCCTATGGATGGTGCTAATTTTTTATTCCTGTCCAGCCTAACGTTCAGTAATAGTCTAAAGGATTTAAAGTATGCCTGGTAATGAGCTGTGACTTAGGTTTCATGTTTGTTTTTAAAAAGACAACTCCTTCATAGGCAACCAGCAACCAAAGGCTGAGTCCTTGTTTAAGGTCCTTGAAACTCATTAACCAGCTGTGTCAGGTAGTAGCATTGGCAGTGCCAAGTACAAGTCTGGATTTCATTATTCAGTATTTGCAGCAAACAGAAAACCCTTAGAAAAAAAGGCTTTCTAGGCTAGCATTTGCCAACACATTTAAGGAATTGTAAGAAGTGTGTACACACCCCCCACCCCCACACACCCCTTTTCTTTATGTCTTTTAAGAGGCAAGTTGATTCAATGTAGCCTGAAAAATATTTAGACCAAGAGAATTCGATGTTCTGCACAATCAAAGCGCCATCTTTTTTCTTACGAGAGACATGGAAGAGCAGCCCTCTCGACACAGTGGTCATCTATGGCAGAAACCAGGGAAGAGTCCAAGATCTAGCAGTTTGGTGTAGCCATGTGTACTGAGCTATCCAAGTGGCAAATACCAGTGTTATTTAGCCTGTTAGAGCTGCCAGCCTGAGGCCTGCAACGGGACATGAACACTCCAAGACCTAACAACAAGCGTTGAAAATAATTTGCCTGGCTCAGGACATCTGTTCACCTTTTCTTGCCAGGAGAGTTGGTGCAGCTGCTGCTGCACGCCCTGCTCCTGTCAGCCATGCCATCTTCCTGTGCTGGAGTGAGTGCCGAGGAGTTCCTGTGCAGCACATCAGCGGGTAGGTGGCCAGCAGAAGTGAGGCCTGCAGCAGCCAGCACACAAAGCTGCCACGCTGACCAAAGGGATAGGAAGCAGCTAGAGAGGACGGCACTGACTCAGGGTCAGGAGGAAGAGGCAGTTTGGGTCTGAAAACAACTCAGCTCTCAGGCTGGGGGAGATCAAGTCAGACCAAGACTAGAGCTGAGCAATTCTCCCCTGCGGGCTCCTAAGGGTGAAGGTTTGGGCACAGACTATTCTAGCTTGAGATCTGGGGGCAGAGGCACATGTACACAGCGAGAGGAATCACACCCTCGTTCCATTCCCTTGCTCAGCATCCTCTGTTGTGTATGTTTGGACTCTAGAAGTACCAACCGTAAGGCATCTTGCCAACTGCTGTAACGAGCTTACAAAATGAACATGGGTGTTTGTCTTGTGAAAGTGCATCATTGTAGTTAAGTATCAGCTTTCCACTGCCAAAGCTTGCCCCATGAAAGCACTTTTGCTCAAGTCGGTACAAATGTTTATTCACACTGTCCTTACCTCATGAGTTCCATGAGAGAAGTTGAGACGGGCAACATTCATTCCAGATTTAATCATTTCTCTCAGCGTTTCTACTGAGCGGGAGGCTGGGCCTAGAAGGATGGCAAAAGGAATCACAGTATTACTGTCAATTGGTAAAAGCTTGTTACAAACTTAAGGCAAAGGCAAGATCAGAAATTGTTCTAGGTTTATGGGCTATTTCACAAGCTAGAAAGGGGGTGAACCACAGATGTGCAGAGACATTGTACAAGGACTTGAATAGTTATGAAGCAACATGTCTCTTGGCTTTCTGCAAAGTGCATGCATGCTCTCAAACTAGCTCAGATACACGCACTTGCAGATGGCTCCTTGTTTGGCCGCACTCCAACTAAGGTAATTCCCAAGTATTAGAAGGATTCTTCAACCCAGGCTGCATGTTACTCCCATAGCTGAAGCCCGCTGTACATACCACCACATTACACCTTCACTACTGCATTTTCAAGTTGCCAATTTAAATGTGATGGGGAAAGGGTTAAACCAGCTGCAATTGCTAGAACAACATTTCACTGTGACAGATTCAGACTCTGAAGGGTCAATTCTCAGTCTAGCTGCACACTTAGACATCTCTGCCATTAATAGAAGCTACAGTACTCCTATCCACGTGTCCACCATTCTACAGATCTTGTGGGAACACTACTAATCTTTGGACTGTTTTCAGGTGACAGCTGCAGTCCTCTGCCCCAGGCACGAAGAGCTACCTACCAATAGTACAGATAATGCCAGTGTTTCGAGCTGTGATTGGCTCTGAATCGATGTCCAAGCGGCACATATGCTCCAGAAAAGTGTCTGCCATGGCAGCGTGCAGCTGCTGGGTCTGGATGAAAGCATCGTGGTGCTTAGACATGGCTGCTGGGATTCTTTACCTAGGAGAAAGGGAGAGTAGTTGTAGAATGTTAGGTAAACCCAAATAGCCTTTTTCGTCCAGAAGGCCTCAAACACATTCATAGCCCTCCATCTTTTTGTTAAGCTACATAGGAAGTTGAGAGGTGACTTGATTACAGTCCAAGTACCTACCTGCAGAAGAGGAGGAGCTTTGCAATCTAACACAATACAGTTCAGAGGAGAGAACCTGAAGATCAACAAATTTAGATGACATAAGGCAAAAAGTTGAGCCATTAAGTCTGAACTAAGGGTTGGGGTGGATGGATTCTCCATCACTGATATTTAAAATAAATTGGAGCTTTTCTGAAAGAATATTCCTACTGTAAGAATGGTTGTGGGGAAGTTTTATGGCCTGTATTATACAGGAGATCCAAAATGGTCCCTTCTGGCCTTGGAATCTAGAAATAAAATAAACGCTCTGTAGCAATATACTATGACAGGAAAAATCTGCCACCTTCACCTAGATAAGCAGCTTTTTTGGAATGCAGTCTGACCAAGTTAGGCCATCTGGTTCAGGTTCCATAGCCTGGGGACAAGGGAATCTCACTTTATAGTTAGCTGCAGGGGCTCCCTGCCTTCCACCCAGGACATTCCTGGGGGTCATTTTCCCACATCCCTCTGGCAGGGACTTCCTTTAATCTTCCTCCCTCATAGGGGTTGCATGCCTTATGTACCGTGTAACAGCTGGGTCTCCCATTTACATCTCCCTCTTTGTTCTAGGTTGCTCCATTCCCATAATCAATATTTGTCTGGGAGATAGCCTTCTGATGACAGGAGTATTGTTATGCATTAGCAGGTACCAACAGTCAGTTTAATCTACACACTACTGTAGAGATGCTTGTGGCTGTGCTGAAAAGTGAAATCCCCCCTCCCCTCCTAAAAAATTCCAAGTTCGTCATTGATGCCTAGAAAATTCCCTGAAGTGTTGGAATTGGTTGGATACAGCCCCATTGCATTATGTAGACAAAAAAAGTCATGCTGAGTATAACCTGCTTAACCAAAGAAACACAGCCCCATTATGAGCAGTCTGACTTCCTGTAAAAAGACAGGAATTCTGCCAGTCAACCCTGCCTATTAACTTCTGCAAAGCTCAAATTCTGCAGTAATATTTTTAGACTAAGCAACTTTACATGGTACTTGGGTTTATCTGGAGTCAGATTATTCTGAACCACTGACTATTAAAATATATATATTCCCCACTTCCCCCGTATTGGCATTCATAGCAGCAACCTGAACATCCTATATCATGGACATTCAGAAAAAGCAGGTAAAACTCCCTGTAAAACCAGTACTTAATGTAATTTAGATGTAACAATCCATATTACAGTAATAGTCAAGTGCTATTGTGAGTTGCAGCCTATATGCTAAATCAGGTCATTCAGTTTTGTCAGACCATGGAGGCTAAAGAGAAGTAAATTCTACAGCCAAAGTTATTACATGGATATGGACATAAAAACTCAAATTGGTACTGCGACTACACCTACACTCACAGAAGAGAGGTAGCCTGTGATCCTACCACCACATGTTAAACATGTGCTCTCCCATGAGGTCAATGCTTAAGAGGCTTCACTCAAAGCTTAGCTCCTCCCTCACCCACCTCTGCCAGTCAGACCTTCCAATTTCCCAGCATCTACGTGCAGTTTCTCACAAGGCAGCTTTGACTCACTGTATCCTCATTATGATACGAAGACTTTACAGCAAGGACGCAGGCTACTGAAAACCTCAGTGTACCCTGGCAAGTATTCTTATTCCACGCCATTGGAAGGTGCTGACTCACTGAGATAGAAATGAAGGCACATGGAAGTTAGCAGCATTGCAACCTTACATTAACTACTATTCCAGCATACCTAGCTGAAATGTTTATCAGCATGAAGAGGTAAATATAGGAGGAGAGGAGAGACATGAGTTTCCTATCGACCACTTCCTCCCATTCTAATGCAAGTTTTCTAGATATGCAAAACAATTCTTCATTAAAAGGAAGAGTCACGCGAACACCAAAAGTCAGACTTCCAGATCCTGCAACTGATGAGGCTGCTTTTTGGTACTCGGATTTGTTTGAATCATCTCCTACTTGCTGACCTGACTACAAAAATAGGAAATAACTCCAGGAGGGAGCAGCAATTCTTAGAACTAAAGACTGATGTTGGAGAAAAACTAGCTGAGTCTCAACTGCTCTAACACAAGTTCACTCCCAAACATCCCCAAGAGTCAGGCATCATAACCTAGATTTCAGGTGTAAGCTTCCAAAGAGTTCAAGTTAACCAGCCATTCATATTATGTAGCACCTTGTAAGTCAAATCACTGAATGCTTTAAGGAGCAGTGAACTGAAGCTGCAAAAGTTCTCCCTATGCCCCTTGACACCAGTAAGTCAAAATATGCAGCCCTATCCAAATGCCAGACAATTCTGGAAATGGCATGAAGCATCTCATTTCATTCTGTTCAAAGGATGAGCAACTGAGATGGAAACCGATAGCCTGGTAGCTACCAGGCTGTTACTGAGTCACAAACTTCCCCTCCCCCTCAGTGCGCATAATAAAGTGTTTTAAATGCAGCCAGCACCTCATGGAAAACCCCCAACAGGCATTTACAAGCAACTTCTAATTTACATTTCTGTATGCCACACTCATTCTGCAATAAAGATATTACTGCTTTTTAAAAGAAGAGTTTCATATGAAGCCAGAATCGCACTAGCAACAATCTTTCTCAACACAACTCAAGAGCCAGAAATAGCAATCAGCCATTGTGAACTTACTTTTTCTGGGGTAGGGAAATTAGAACTGGAAAGAAAAAACACCAGCAAGAACATGGAAATTGTGTTTTCATAAGAACAGCCATACTGGGCCAGACCAAAGGTCCATCCAGCCAAGTATCCTGTCTGCTGACAGTGGCCAATACCAGATGCCCCAGAGGCAGGGATCTCAACAGGCAATCCTCATCTGATCTCTCCCCTGTCTCCCACTTTCAGACAGAGGCTAGGGACACCATTCCTACCCATCCTGGCTAATAGGTCCATCAAAGGCTATCCTCCATGAATCTAGTTCTTTTTTTAACCCTGACAAAGTTCTGGCCTTCACCGCATCCTCTGGCAAGGAGTTCCACAGGTTGACTGCGTACTGAGTAAAGAAAAACTTGTTTGTTTTAAAACAAGCCTGCAGGTAGCTTTAGTTTTGCAATATTGTGCCCTATGTTTTTGTACTTCCCTGGTACCAATTACAGTGCTTGTCTATAAAACATTCACTGAACTCTGCTGCAGATCAAGATTTGAGCGCTGTTTTTAGCAATTTATGTTTAAAATTTCTTTGCAAGATACAGATGGGCATAGTAGCTCTAGGCAATGGATTTTATATAAGAGTAGGAAATGAGGCTGATTTAATTAGGACATAAAACCAGTAAACCCCGATTTATTATACAACCCAACCTCACATGTTTCTGGCAACATGCATTTTCACATTTGCACTGACCTTTCCAGCGTCTGTTCAGAATCAGTATGCTCCTTTGGATATTACAATGAAGACTGGCCTGGGATATGCAGCATTGAAGAGTTAACCTCTTGTGCTACTATTGCAAGAAGTAGCCAAGAAGTTAAAAGAGGTCAGAACTCCGTTGCTTTCATTTGCAACATCAAAATTAAAGAGACTGGGTCAACAATGGTACAGACACAGAGCCCTTATTCAGTACTGGAAGAGCTTAAACCAAATTTCTTGCAATAGAAGCAGTAGCAACCTGTTTGGATTTGTCAAATTGCCCCTCAGCTAACTAAAAGGAACAGGAGAGGAGGGAAATCAAATCCCAGTAGATGCATGTAATGGGAAACACAGCAGATATTGATTTTATAAGAGGGGATTCATCACTGGTATTTAAGCACGATGACATTCTAGAAGGCAGTCCCTAACACTCCCTTTTTTGAAGCCTACACTTAGGTTCAACAATGCCAGGAAGAAAATGCCATCTCTGAAGTTAGTAGGGATTTAAAATCCCATTTAATAGTGGGGAGCTGCTCCAGCCTCCATCGTTAACCAGAACTAGTAAGCATCGCTCATTAAGGTGACACATACTGGTTAGCCAGTTAACCTTTCACATCCCTAGAAGTTAGCCAAGTGCATACCAACCCACACTGCAGCTTGCCAGCAAGATTTAAGTGATTGGCCTCAGACAGTTGTGGGCAACTGCGGGCTTGCATTCAACCCACTGGAGTTGCACCTACAGCCTGACCCCCATTTCTCCCCACATGCCTCTTGCACTCCTCCCCCTCTCTCCCAGCACTTGAGTTCTGCAAATGAGCTGATTCAAGCTCCATCCCTGCTCCTCTCCCTCCCAAAACTTTAACAGCTGCAAACCAGTAGGGGGGAGTACAAGTGCTCCAATGCCCCAGAAGCAAGTGAGAAGGGGGGGCAGACAGTCTGCAGGCCACAGGTGCAACCCCAATGTGCTGCAGGCTGCTTGTGGCACACTCACTATTCCTCGCTAGTCTGGGATCAGAGAACATCTCTCCACAGGGTGGAAGATTATGTGATTATTTCTTTGCATGCATCTTTTCACTCTATTGCCAAAAAGATACCTGCCCACACAGTATACATCTAAATGGTTCATTTCCTGCCTAAATCTTCATAGTCTCATCTCATAATATAGCTGTTAAGAAAGGGAAGTTGAGATTACCCAAGTGCAAAATTCTAGATAATCTTGCCTCAATTTTTAAGTCACTGGTGTTTTCCCATGGCATAAGCACAAGTACGCAGGCTCAGAATGAAGTTACTTACATAGCAGCTACTTCCCAACTCAGCTGTGGGGTATTTTGGTTTTAAGTATATTCTTAGGCCTGTGAGAGCCAGAAAGTAGCTATATACTGGAAAAAAGGCAACTCATGCAGTGGATTTTAGCTTTGCTGCCTCTGAAGATTAAGATTTAAATCCGATGGGCCTTTAGTCCTGAATACAAATGTATTCACACCAAAAAGCTACTCAGTCATGCTGAGTTGTTCTCGTACAGCCTATTCAACTCAGGACT